TGGGCATTTGCTATTATACAGGGGTGAAATCTACTTACCTTCCCTACCAGTTCGGAAGTGTGCACGCCGGAAGCACGCACTCTAAAACCACCCCCACCAACACTGACAGTTCAAGCTATCAGAATATAAACTGACAGCAAACTGCACTCCTTACTAACACTGATGATGTTGCCTCATTTGGGTAATGAACTGTCTGCAAGAAAATAAGCAAGCTCAGACAGTATCAAGGACCCCTCATACTTGAATTTTATTATATTTCTTATGGATTTTTGTCAGTTGCTCAGAGTATATAAAATGGGTAGCCATATAAATTCTCTAAGTCAATACATCAATCAAGCACACACACACACACACACACACACACAAGCACACAAGTTCCAACTTTGTGTTCCTAATCTTCAATCTATTGAGGTGGTAACAGGTACCCCATTTCTCATACTCATGTGGGCTGCATTCACTATGAAACCTATAATATACCCCTGTATATGCACGGTTGAAATAGCCCTGGTAAAAAATACATTCAGAGCAAGGTAAACTGACCCAACAGTGAGAAAACCCAGTCAGGAATCTATGGTCAAGAAAACCAAATTGTTTCTATTCCCTCCCCAAATCTCATAGATAGTATGGCCAGTATTTTGATCGAATAGGAAGGAATAAAGAGAGAGGAAGGAGGAGGTGGTTCTCCTCTTTCCTCTCTGACCGTACGCAGTCTGTGTTGGCAGGGGGTCAGAGGTCAACCTTGAGGCGCCTTGTTTGTGGGGTGCTGCAAGGGTCGGTCCTCTTGTTCAACATTTATGTGAAGCTGCTGGGTGAGATCATCCATGGTTTTGGGGTGAAGTTCCATCAGTATGCTGATGACACTCAGCTGTACATTTCCACCCCGGACCACCCCAATGATGCACTTGACGTGATGTCCTGGTGTCTGGAGGCCATGCGGATCTGGATGGGGAGAAACAGGCTCAGACTCAAACCATCTAAGACTGAGTGGCTGTGGCTTCTGGCGTCCTGGTATAGCCAGCTGTTACCATCACTGACTATCGGGGGTGAGATTTTGGCCCCCACAGAGAGGGCTCACAACTTGGGTGTCCTCCTGTCTTTAGAAGATCATGTGACAGCTGTGGCCAGGGGGGCTTTTTATCAGGTTCGCCTGATTCACCAGTTGCGCCCCTTTCTGGATCGGGACTTCTTGCGCACGGTCACTCATGCCCTCGTCACCGCCCGTCTGGACTACAGTAATGCTCTCTACATGGGGCTCCCCCTGAAGAGCACTCGGAGACTCCAACTGGTCCAGAATGCGGCTGCATGGGTGATTATGGGAGCGACACGACGCACCCATGTAACACCTCTCCTACGCGAGCTGCACTGGCTCCCGGTGGTCTTCCGGGTGCGATTCAAGGTGTTGGTGACCACCTTTAAAGCGCTCCATGACTTACCACCTGGGTACTTACGAGATCGCCTTCTGCTACCAGTAGCCTCCCACTGGCCAATACACTCCCACAGAGAGGGACTCTTCAGGGTGCCGTTGGTCAAACAATGTCGACTGGCGACAGGGGGAGAGCCTTCTCTGTGGGAGCTCCTGACCTTTGGAATGAACTGCCCCCGGAGATACGCAAGATCTCCGACATCTGTGTTTTTCGCTGTGCCCTCAAGACCCTGCTGTTCCGACAGGCGGTGCTGACTATGTAAATGAATTTTAATCTGGAATTTTAATTTTTGGGTTTTTAATCAAACTGGGACGAAATTGTCTAATAATTTTAATAATTTTAAATTTTTAAATTTATGATGTTTGTATGTTTTTGTGTTTTTATTCTGGCTGTACTCTGCCCTGAGTCCTTCGGGAGAAGGGCGGTATAGAAATAGAAATAAATAAATAAAAAAAAATAAAAAAAAATTGTGAGTGGTGGGCACATGTGCCCTCTGCTCATGCAAGTGGCTCTGTGACAAGAGTGGGCTTCAAAATTTTTAGCAAGAGGTTGTCTGCCCGGTTGCTGGGTGGGCGTGGCCATGATGGGTATAGCCTAGTTGGCCTCCTGCACCACGGTGGTGGGGGGGTGTTTTTACTCTCCCCAGGCTCTGGAGGCCCTCTGGAGGCTGGAAACGGGCCTGGTTCTGGCCTTCATGAACTTCCGGTAGGTCCATTTTTCTCTCTCCCTGAGTCTCCGCATGCATCCTGCATTTACCTGCATCCAAAACGGGCCATGTGGGGATTCATGGGAGGGCCAGGCCAAGGTAGGCAGGGCCAGTGAAGAGTGGGATTTGGGGGTTGTCCGAATTGCACAATCTTAGCTAGAGGTTCTCTCAAACCCCTGTAAACCCCCAGCAGCCCACCCCTGGTCTGCGAGCATCAGGCCCACCACATACATGAGTTGGGCTGAGCGCTCATACATGCACTTGCCTGCCACTCATGTGGCCCAGTTGTGAATAGGTCATGGCCTGGTAGTGGGATGTAGCCCACAGATTGGGGACCCCGCAAAAGTGGGTCTGTGAGCACTGGACCTGGCACTTGTGTGAGTTGGGCTGAGTGGTCCCAAGTGCCCTGGCCTCATAACTCATGCGATCTGGTTGTGAATAACTCACGACCTGGTAATGGGCTGTGGCTTACATATTGGGGAGCCCTGCTCTAAAAGATTTCAACATCCTGCTGTCATTTCCTCTGTATCTGACTTTTCCTCTTTTTTTCCTTTGCATTATAGTGGACCAAAGATATGTTAACGCCGGTTTGCTTTTGCTCATAAGTTGCTCAGCAAATTTTTTAGTTCTTCAACCACTATAGCCAACCCAGAATCACTTGGTTGAGTTGGGCAGCTATAGAAATGGAGTAAATAAATAAATAAAAATAAAAATCATTGTTCTAGGAATCCAGAATATTCCATTTTTTTATTTTTTATGTATTTGTTAACTTTATTTCCTGCCTCCATGGGGCTGCTCTAGGCAGTATTGTTGTATTTTTCTGTGCATGCCTGTAAATAAAATAACATTAACTTGTATCTTCAAAGTGCTTTGGTTGATTTACCTGAGCCAAATTCTGACTGCCATTCTGGCTACTATTCTATCTCTTCGTTTTCTCGCCTTCTCAGCAGAACCACAAAAAAAGCAAGAATTATATCTGGGTATACTTCATTTCACCAAGACAAATAAATATTTCTTTATGTATATTTAATGCTCTGTGCTAAGAAAAAGCATTCATTAAAATAATTGCTCAAATGGTGCTATACAATAGGCAAGTTTTGGGTCCTGAATTGAGGGTGAGGTTAAGAGTTTGATATTGGGTTTGTTATTAGTTTTGACTGCAAAACCCGATTAGTCAATGATTTTGAGAAGTGGGAAAAAATCACTCAACAATATTTGATCAATCTTGATCATTGTTCACAGTCCATTCTTTCTAATGTCTATTTCTGTATCTACAGAGTTCTTGTATTAGCCCTAGAATTGGTTTGCAAAAGATTGAAATCCCATTGCAATAGAACTCCCAAATAGAACTCCCAAATGGAAGATTTCTTGCTTGAAGTGTTAATATATCCTCTCCCCGCAAACACCAACTACCTTCTGAAGAATTATAAGATAAAAAACAAATTCCATCAAGTTTGTTCATACTTTATTACCTAAATGCAGGTAATAAATTAATTTTATTTCCTAAAAGAGTAGTCTTAAAACATACAACATTAGAATTGGAAGGGCCTGTGGAGGTCTTCTAATCCAACCCTTTGCTTAAGAAGTTGTGTCAGCTCTAAATGACTCTAGTTGAAGCCATATTTTTCTTGCTTTGTTTTTTAGTTGCTGTACTTATGTGGGGGGGGATTTATGGAATGTAGAATGTTTTCCTCCAATGTGCCAGACATAACAATGATAATTGAGAGAGCCGAGGTGGCACAGTGGTTAGAGTGCAGTACTGCAGCTACTTCAGCTGACTGCTAGTTCAGCAGATCAGCAGATCAAATCTCACTGGCTCAAGGTTGACTCAGCCTTCCATCCTTCCGAGGTGGGTAAAATGAGGACCCAGATTGTTGGGGGCAATATGCTATTTAGTATACTGTCTTTGGTGTAAGCTGCCCAGAGTCTTCGGAGAGTGGGCAGCATAGAAATATGACTAATAAAATAAAATAATAAAATAAGGCTCCTGAGAACCAAGGCCAGATCAATGTGCACTAGCAATGGCAGGAGGGAGTGCTGAGAAGTTCATCACCAGTTGACTCATCCTTCCATCCTTCCAATGATGGTAAAATGAAGACCCAGATTGCTGAGGACCCAGCAATATGCTGACACTGTAAATTGCTTAGAGAGGGCTGTAAAGCACTGTAAAGCGGTAGATAAGTCTAAGTGCTACTGCTATTGCTATTCTTTGTTTGTTGTCTTGCCTTCTGGTGCTTTGGAAAATAAGTATTGTGTGTTCTATTGGGATTTGGAAAGAATTATTCTGGGTATTTGCGAGATCACCTTCTGCCACCAATAGCCTCCCACCGGCCAGTACGCTCCCACAGAGAGGGACTCCTCAGGGTGCCGTCGGTCAAAGTATGTTGATTGGAGACCCCCAAGGGGACAGCCTTCTCTGTGGGGGCTCCTGCCCTATGGAATGAATTGCCCCCGGAGATACGTATGATCCCCGACCTACGTACCTTCCACCATGCCCTTAAGACTTTACTATTTCAACAAGCCGGGCTGAGGAGATAATGAATTTTAAACGGGTATTTTAATCTTGGGGTTTTTTTTAAAAAAGGGCCAAATTATTTAATTTGTTTTAATTGTTTTTTAAATTTTATGGTATATATTGGTTTTTATTAATGGCTGTGCACCACCCTGAGTCCTTCGGGAGAAGGGCGGTATAAAAATTTAATAAATAAATAAATAAATAAATAAATAAATAAATAAATAAATAAATAAATAAATGTTTGAAACATGTGCACAGCTTCCTCAGATCATTTGCTTATTCATGTTTATGAATATAGTTTTATGCATAGAAGAGATTAGCATTGGGTTGTTCAAAATTCAATCCCATTCTTTTTCTATTTCTTGTGTATTAAATGCTCTCTAGAGTTGAGTTCAGGCCTCAGTACAATTATATAGATTTTGGGAACGAAGATGCATCCCAGTAAGCCAGCACTGGAAGACAGGATAGAGAAGATCTCCACAGCCACCATGTACTTCCCTTTGGTGCTCATGTAAGTAGGGACAAAGGTCAGCCAAACACTACAGAAAACCAACATGCTGAAAGTGATGAACTTGGCTTCATTAAAACTGTCTGGCAACTTCCTGGCTAGGAAGGCCACAGTGAAGCTGAGAAGAGCCAAAAAACCCATGTAGCCCAAGACAGAATAAAACATGATGATGGAGCCTTCATGACATTCAGCTATGATTTCTCCATGGAGTGTTTCCATGTCCAAATTGGGAAATGGAGGAGAAGTACCCAGCCAAACAATACAAATACCTACTTGAATGAAGGAACAGAAGCAGACAATAGAATAGGCCAACTTTTGCCCGACCCATTTGTGGAATAGGCTTCCTGGCTTTGAGGCTAGGAATGCTACAATGACCGTGATGGTTTTGGCCAATATAGAAGAGATTGCAACAGAGAAGATGATGCCAAATGTTGTTTGTCGGAGGAGGCAGGTCACCTTATTGGGCTTCCCAATGAACAGAAGTGAACAGAGGAAACAAAGAAAGATGGAGATAAGTAGAAGGTAGGTGATGTTGCGATTGTTGGCTTTGACAATGGGTGTGTCCCGTTGCTTAATAAAGATTGTAAACACCAAAGCTGTAACCAGGGACAAAAGGAGAGCCAGAGACACCAGAGTAATGCCCAGTGGCTCTTCAAAGGAGAGGAAATTCAGCGTCTTTGGAATGCATTCATTGTGAGCTTGGTTTGGAAATTGATCCTCTGGACAATGGTCACAATTTTCCATATCTGAAAAGAGAAAAATAATTTCTTTACAGAATAAAACTTTTCCCAAGGCCTAGAATTGCTTTTCTGGACTTCCTTGCAGAGAAAATGTTCCATAAATTCTTTTGCAAATCTGTATTCTACCTACATTTTTAAAAAAATGAACACTGAAGGGAAAAACCATTTAGATTTTCGTACATTACAATTCACTTGGCCTATTGGAGTGCACTAGGTTTAATAGCACTTCTGAACAAGAGAATAGCATGTAAAAATTTCTAAATCTCTCTCATCTAATGGAAAAGAGAAAGAAGCAGCTTTAGATCCTGGAATATGGGCAGTAACTGCTTGCTTCATGTACAGTTCCATATCACTTGAATTAGATTTAATCTCAAGGATCGAGAAATGGGCTACAGGACATCTCTTCCTTCTCTTGCTTTGAGATGAACCAATACAGCAAGCAATACAATTGAAGAGATTCTTGTTAAATAGAAGACAGGCTGCAGAAACGAACTTTTATGCATAGGTCCTTTGGGATGCCACGAATCTTACCCATTTGTCTGGATACCATCTTTTCTGGACACCAACCACAAGCATAGCAGCAAAATTTCTGCCCTTCAATCTTGTTCTTTGTTTTTCCCAGAGGACAAGGATCATTACATAATGAGGCTGGAGGTAGCTATCCTCAAAGAAACAAAGAGGTCAGTATTAGTCTTTTGCTTTTACTTACATCCAATGAATATAAATGAGATAGTAGAGAGTCAGACCTGCCATCGAGCAAACTCAGCTGGTTTAATCACGAAAAAGTTTTCCCAAATAGAAAAAAAGATGAGGATTAACCTTTTGGAGTTTTTTTTTCCTTGTACATACAATGAATAAGAATCACACTGTTGATAGTCGTGACATGAAAAAGACAATTTGACTGGGAAAAAGTTGCCGGAACCAGGAACCTAACTGAAGTTGCATTTCATTTGTTTTTAGTTTAGCTGAAGTTTAATTAATAAAAGACAGCCCAGTGTAGGAGGTGACCAGGCTGAGAAGGGCCAAGCATATCATCAGTTTGGAATCTCTTTGTACCCACAAGAGATGTAAGTCCAGGCCTCCTTGAATTCCTCTGACTCTTATTTACTGCCAGCTTGGCTTGAATGTTAGTAGTTCAGATTCTTGTAGAGAGCTTTAGCAGGCAATAAACATATATTCATTTGAACTGCCTGGACTTCTGATTTTCTGAGTTTGACACCCACATTTCTATTCATACCTTGATGATTTTCCAATTCCTCCACATGTTGATTACTACCTATAAACTCCTACATCGTATACGGTACAGCCTGGTTACTTGACGCAAAAGTATAATTGTCAACTATATGTTTCTCAAAGTCATCTTGACCATGAGATGATTAGGAAATAAATTCATCAATCGATTGATCGATCGATCGATCAATCAATCAATCAAACAACTAACCAATACTTAAATTTCCATCACCCTATTTTCATTTGAACAGGTTAGAAACTCTAAAGGTTAGAAATTTTAAAGAAAGAGAATATCCATCACTAACCAGTCAGTAATGCAGTACGTCTGCTTTTGCATACCTTTGATAGAGATGCACTGAAATTTAATTGGGGCCTATGGGCTAGTTGCCCTCTATGGGCTAAAGAAAAGGCTAGAAGGATGAAAAGCAATACATATGATTTGGGTCTTTTAGTCCATGTTATGGTACCTGAATGAATTCATGATGCCACTGGATTTTGTCTGGATATATGTGGAAAGTTTTTCCTGGAGGAGCTTGTGGATCCAATTCTCCAACTGGGATGTTGATGTAAGAGTTGTTTGGGAAAGTAACCAGGTTTACAATGTCAAATCCAGCTTGTATTATTCCATCTTCATTTAATTTAATTTCATCTCTAGCATTATTGTTGAAGGAAATTCTCTGCAGAAATGGGTGGAGCTTGCAGAAGAAAAAGCATAAGGGTTTAATGGTGGCTACCTAGGTGGCTCAGTGGCTAAGACATTGAATTTGTCAATCAGAAATGTCGACGGTTCGAATCCCTAGTATAGGTCTCCTGCGTGAACAGGGGCTTGGACTAGATGACCTCCAAGGTCCCTTCCAACTCTGTTACTGTTACTTTGAGGGTTAAAGAGAACATAGAATTTAGAATAACAGAATTGGAAGGGACCTTGGAGGTAGTCTAGTCCAACCATCAAATGTCCAGTCTGTTCTGGAAAGCTTCCAGTGATGGGGCACCCACAACTTCTGAAGATAAGCCATTCTACTGGTTGATTGCTCTTATCATTAGGAAGTTTCTCCTTAGTTCTAGGTTACTTCTCTCCTTGATTGGCTTCCACCCATGGTTTCTTGTCTTGCCTTCTGGTGCTTTGGAAACTAGGTTGACCCCCTCATCTTTGTGGCAGCCTCTCAAATATTGAAACACCTCTGTAGTACTTCCTCTAGTCCTTCTTTTCACTAGACTAGCCATCCCCAGTTCCTGAAACCATTCTTTATATATTTTAGCCTCCAGCCCCCTAATCGTCTTTTCTACTCGTCTCTTATTTATTTATTTATTTATTTATTTATTTATTTATTTATTTATTTATTTATTTATTTATTTAATTTTTATACTGCCCTTCTCCTGAAGGACTCAGGGTGGTAAACATACATATAATTTGAAATAAAATTAATTTAAAATAATTAAACCGATTTGGCTCATCAATTAAGATCCTCCGCTCAGAGTTGAGATAAACTGAAAATTTATGCCAGTCCAGCTTGGTGAAATAGAAAGGTCTTCAAGGCACAACAGAAAGTACGGAGATCTGGGATAATTTGTATCCCTGGGGGTATCCTGTTCCATAGGGCAGGTGCCCCCACAGAGAAGGCTCTCCTTCTGGGAACCACCAGCCGACATTGCTTTACTGATGGCACCCTGAGGAGGCCCACTCTGTGGGAGCGTACTGGTTGATAGGAGGTTTTCGGTTGCAGAAGGTGGTCTCGTAAGTACCCAGGTCCTAAGCCATGGAGCACTTTAAAGGTAAGAACCAGCACCTTGAAGCGCACTCAGAAGACCACCGGGAGCCAATGTAGCTCGCGTAGGAGAGGTGTTACATGTGAGCGCCATGTTGCTCCCATAATCACCTGCGCAGCTGCATTCTGGACCAGTTGGAGCTTCCGGGTGCACCTCAAGGGTAGCCCCATGTAGAGAGCATTACAGTAGCCCAGTCGGGAAGTGACGAGGGTATGAGTGACTGTACGTAGGGAGTCCTGATCTAGAAAGGGGCACAACTGGCAAATCAGGCAAACCTGATAGAAAACTCCCCTGGCCACGGCCGTCATATGCTCTTCTAAAGACAGCCATGTGTCCAGGAGGACACCCAAGTTGCGAGCCTTCTCTGTGGGGCCCAATAGTCAGTGATGGTATCAGCTGGCTATATCGGGACGCCGGCAGCTACAGCCACTCGGTCTTGGAAGGATTGAGTCAGAGTCTATTTCTCCCCATCCAGATCCACATGGCTTCAAGGCACCGGGACATCACTGCAAGGGTATCATTGGGATGGTCTGGGGTGGAGATGTACAGCTGAGTATCATCAGCGTAAAGATGGCACTGTACCCCAAAACCATGGATGAGCTCACCCAGCAGCTTCACATAAATGTTGAACAGAAGAGGCAAAAGACCCTTGTGGCACCCCACAAATAAGGTGTCTTGAAGTCGACCTCACCCCTCCTTTCAACACAGACTGCGACCGGTCAGAGAGATAGGAGGAGAACCACCATAGAACGGTGCCTCCCACTCCCAGCCCCTCCAGTCGGCACAGGAAGATACCATGGTCGATGGTGTCAAAAGCTGCTGAGAGAACTAATAGAACCAGGATAGAGGAGCAACCCCTATCTCGAGCTCTTCAGAGATCATCAACCAATGCAACCAATGCCGTTTCAGTGCTGTAACCAGGCCTGAAGCCAGACTGGAATGGATCTAAATAGACAGTTTCATCCAGATAGTGCGGGAGTTGCTGTGCCACCACACTCTCAACAACCTTTGCCACAAAGCGAAGGTTGGAGACAGGACGGTAGTTTGCTAGAACAGCCAGGTCCAAAGAGGGCTTCTTGAGGAGGGGCCTCACCACCGCCTCTTCAAGGTGGAAGGCAAGAAACCCTCACACAGAGAAGCGTTTATAATCCTCTGGAGCCAGCCTCGTGTAACCTCTCGGGAAGCCAGTACCAACCAGGAGGGACACGGGTCCAATAAACATGTGGTTGCATTCAACTTCCCCAGTAACCTGTCCACGTCTTCAGGGGTCACAGGGTCAAACTCATCCCAAATAACATCCTCAAGATTCGCCTCCATCACTTCGTCTGAACTAACCCAGTCAGAGTCCAAGCCTTCCCGAATTTGAGCGATTTTATTGTGTAGTTATTGTGCAAAATCCTCAGCTCAACCTTGCAAGGGGTCTTCCCATGCTCCCAGATGGAGGAGGGAGCGGGTCACCCTAAACAGGGCGGCTGGGCGATTATCTACCGATGCAATAATAGCAGAAAAATAGTTATATTTTGCCGCTGTTATCGCCACTAAGTAGGTCTTAATATATGACCTCACTAGTGTTCGGTCAGATTTAGAATGACTGGCTCTCCAACTACTCTCTAGGCATCTTTTCCGGCGTTTCATTTCCCTCAACTCCTCGGAAAACCAAGGAGCCGGGCAACTTGGACGCTGGGTCAGAGGCCGCAAAGGCACAACCCGATCCAAGGCACCAATGGCCATCCTATCCCAGGTTGCCACCAGGTCTTCAATCGAGTTGTGAGCTAGAGTCTCAGGAAATGGCCCAAGCTCCATCTGGAATCTGTCAGGATCCATCAGGTGCCTGGGATGGAACCATTTAATCGGTTCCGCCTCCCTGTGGTGGGGTGTAGCCGACAGAAAGTCAAGCCTAAGGAGAGAATGGTCTGACCATGACAAGGGTTCGATGACTATATCCCCTATATCTAGGCCATTCAACCACTGGTCAGATACAAAAATCAAGTCCAGAATGTGTACCCCCCATGTGAGTAGGGCCATGAACTAACTGGGTCAGGTCCATGGCCGTCATGGAAGCTATGAACTCCTGAGCTACCTCAGATGTTTCACCGATGGATGGCAGATTGAACTCTCCCATGACAAGAAGCCTAGGAGTCTCAACCGCCTCCCTGGCTATTACATTGAGGAGATCAGGCAGGGCTGCTGCTATGTGGCAGGGAGCCAGGTATGCAATCAGCAGGCCCATCTGTAACCCATGGCCCCACTTCACGAGGAGGGACTCACATCCGGCTGTCTGAGGAACAGTGGCCTCCTTAGGATCAAGACTCTCCTTTATAATAACCGCCACCCCTCCACCCTTACCCTGAGCCCTTGGCTGATGGAATGCGTGGAAACCTGGTGGGCACATCTCTACGAGGGGGACTTCCCCTTCATGGCCCAACCAGGTCTCTGTAATGCCCACCAGGTCCGCTCTCCCCTCCTGAATTAGTTCACAAATGAGGGGGGCTTTGTTAGCTGCGGACCTGACGTTGCATAACATCAGCCTAAGGCTCAGGCCCTGAGACTCTGAGCAAACCAGGGAACGAGAAGAGCTATTTCTTTCCATAGAAATAGGTATGATTTCCCCAAACAATATGCCTTTTGAAATCTGAATCCCTTCCCCACCCAGGAAT